TGGGTTCATCCCACAGGCATTTCTTTGTTAAATGCCTACTATGTGTGAGCTGAAGCAGGGCATCACAGTGTGCGGTCCTCCCTCCAGGTTCCTGGGAGAAACGGTGGCCATGGGCTACATGGTCAAAGCCCAAAAGTGGGAAGAACAGCATCAGTGAGACAGGCCAGTGACAGACAGTGTGATCTGACCCAGAATCCGTGGCTGAAGGCCAGCCTGGCATGGAGCAACTGGGAATGGAGCACCTCTTCTAGAACAAAAGAGTGAGCAAATCATGATTCTGAGAGGCAAAAAGCAAACACCAAGCTTTCTGGAAATGGTTGCTATGACCATATGCCAAAAGACAGCCTGTTTCAGGTTAGTTTCTGGCACCCTCTGTACACCCTGGCACTAGGCCTTACCTTGGAGTAGGGACTGTGTCTCACGTGACACCTTAGTTTAACATATTGCTGTTTCCGGTAGAACTTCCTTAATGTACTGTCAGAGAAGAAGTTGTCAAGTAAATTCAGCTGAATTTCTCAAAAATGTCACTTCATACAATATATACAGATAATAGTGCCTGATTAGAAAACTGGCTCTCTCTCTTTCTGGCTGTGAGATTTGGGGAAAATTTTTGGGTTTTAGGGTTTGGAATGTGGCTTAAGTGGTAGAGCACCTGCTTAGCAAGTGTGAAGCCCCAAGTTCAAATTCCAGTACCACTCAAAAAGAAAAAGAAATTGATTTCTTTCTGTGTCTCTTTCTCTCTCTAAGATAGGGTCTCACTATGTTATCTAGACTGTTATGAACTCCTGAGCTCAAGCGATCCTCCTGTCTCAATCTCCTGAGTGCTGGAACTACAGGCCTACAGGCAAGAGCCACCACACCCACCTTCTGGATTTGTCTTTCTGTTCAAATCTGTAAATAGTAAATAGTCCCCACCTCACAGGGTTACAATGAGGACAGAGTGAGAAAATGTGTGTAACAGTCTCCTCCTAACCATTCCAGACACGCAGTAAGTGCTATAAACTTACTATAATTCATATATATATATATATATATATATTTTTTTTTTTTTTTTTTTTTTTTTGCGGTACTGGGGCTTGAACTCAGGGCCTTCACCTTGAGCCATTCCACCAGCCCTGTTTTTGTGATGGGGTTTTTCAAGATAGGGTCTCTTGAACGATTTGCCTGGGCTGGCTTTGAACCCCGATCCTCCTGATCTCTGCCTCCTGAGTAGCTAGGATTACAGGTGTGTGAGCCACTGGCATCCAGGTATTATATTATTATTAGCTATGTTATTATTATTATTATTATTAATTATTATTATTATTATTTTGGTGCTGGGGATGAACCCAGAATGCTAAGCACACACTCTACCACTGAGTTACCAGGCAGCTATATTATTATCAAGTCACTCTGTTAAGTCATGGTCAGCCTGCTGTCCCTTCTCTTTGACCTTTGTCCGTCTCATCCTTAGAGATACCACTGGGTGAACATGTACCTCTTATATAATCTTTTTAAAAACTTCTTTTTATCCTAGAGACAAGGTCCACAAATTTAATCTGGTACTTCACATGGTGCTGAGGCATAAGGAATTTTCTTTATGAAACATTTTCAGACCACCAAACCAGGGGAGGTGACAGCTGCAGTAAATCTCACCAGCTCTTTGGTCCACAGCCATTTTTTAATGGAAAGGACTATTTCTGACCTTCAGTTCCAAGCAGCTACAAATGTCAAAGGTGGGGCTTCTCTTCTGGGCTTGCTTCCCTGTGGGGTCCTGCCTTCCTGTCCTGCAGTTTGTCTCCTGCCAGATAAGAGGATACTGATGGTGTGTGACAGGACAGCAGAAAGTTACCTGGCCTAAAATATCTTTCCCTACCCCCTTGGAGTGCTCTGCCTTTCATTTTCTGCATTGGCACAGGCCTAGGCAAAGGGGCTTCCCCTCCAATCCAGCACTATAAATATGCCTCTGGGTTAGGACAGAGTGTCACCAGAAGTCCCCAGATAAACCACCCCTCCTGAGAGGGGACATTAACCCATTGTCTTCACCAAGCTCCTAAAGAGCTAGTGACCACGCAGGGAGGATGTTTTAAGGAGAGGAACCAAGGGAAAACTGACCCAAGGCCAGGTTGTGCTGTGCTTTGCATTTTAAAGTTTTGGGTTTTTGGGTTTTTTTTTTAGTGTTTTGTCAATATTTTTTAATATTTACTTATATACATACATACATACATATATATATATATATAACATATTTTGATCAAATTCACCCCTCATATATTGTTTATTTTAACATAACTAATAGCTTGATAATGCTTGTGGTTAAAAAATTCAAACAGGCTGGGGGCATGGCTCAAGTGATAGAGCGCTTGGCTAGCAGCACAAGGCCCTGAGTTCAAACCCCAGTACCACAAAAAAAAAAAATCAAATTCAAACAATATATAAACATAAAGAAGGAAAAGCAAAAGGCTTTTTCATCCCTCCTCCACTCCTGCCCCACCCCCACCAGATGTCGCCAACACTACTGAGTATGGGTGCATTCTTCGAAATACAAATGAATAGACATCACCAAACATTGGATACATCGGATTATCCCATTTTACATATGAGGAAACTGAAGCACAGAGAGGTTGAAATCTCATAGAAGACCACAGAGCCGACAAGTGCTCGGGTTGAAATTCGAATCCAAATCAGTCTGACTCATAAATCAGCATGCATTCTCCCGCCATCTCCCGGGTGTAAAATTTTATGGATGAACAATCCGAGGCTCACAGAGGTCCCCAACAATCAAAACCACATGGTTCGTTGTCTAACATGGGACAGGCAGAGGTGAATGGGCATGCAGGGAAGCCTGCGTGGAGGAGGGGACCTTGGCCGGTGCCAATCTGTGGTCGCAATCTGAGATCGCCTGTCTGTTGAACAGGCCCCGGTTCTGGGGTCCGTGGCTCGCCCAAGTCACTCGGGTACACGCGCCACGGGAGGCCGCTTACCCTGGGCAGGCGGAGTGCGCACACCGCCCACACAGAATTAGTCTGGAGACCTGGGGTGATGGGGTCCCCAGCCCCAGCCTGGGCGCAAGGCAGTGCCCGGGAGCGACGTCCGTCCAAGCTAGTAGGGGCTGTCTCGGCTCCTCACCGTCTAGCCGTCGGGGGGCGCCCGGCACCAAGGGGCGGCCGCTGCTCGCCGCCCGGGAGTGAGTGACCGAGGCGGGCGGGAGCGGTGGGGTCCCCGATCTCCACCCCGGGCGGCCGAGGGGCGCGGGCCCGGGACGCATGTCCCCCCCCCCCCCCCCCCCCCCCCCCCCACCCCTCCCCCCCCCCCCCCCCCCCCCCCCCCCCCCCCCCCCCCCCCCCCCCCCCGCCCCACCCCCCCCCCCCCCCCCCCCCCCCCCCCCCCCCCCCCCCCCCCCCCCCCCCCCCCCCCCCCCCCCCCCCCGCCCCCCCCCCCCCCCCCCCCCCCGCCCCCGGCCCCCCCCCCCCCCCCCCCCCCCCCCCCCCCCCCCCCCCCCCACCCCCACCCCCCGCCCCCCCCCCCCCCCCCCTCCCCCCCCCCCCCCCCCCCCCCCCCCCCCCCCTCCCCCCCCCCCCGCCCCCCCCCCCCCCCCGCCCCCCCACCCCCCCCCCCCCCCCCCCCCCCCCCCCCCCCCCCCCCCCCCCCCCCCCCCCCCCCCCCCCCCCCCCTCCGCCCCCCCCCCACCCCCCCCCCCCCCCCCCCCCCCCCCCCCCCCCCCTCCCCCCCCCCCACCCCCCCCCCTCCCCCCCCCCCCCCCCCCCCCCCCCCCAAGTCGCTCCTGGCATTGAGGGGTAGGATCGCTGGGAGGGATGCAGGTGAGTGCCCTTGACACAGCTCAGCCTGATGGTGGGAGATGGTGACGGAAAAGAAAGACACCTGTTGGGATGGACAACAGGACCCAGGAGAGGAGGACACCATGAGGATCAAGGAATTCTGACCCAGACAGGGACTCTCCACCAGCCCAGACCATACTATCCAGCCCCCTTCCCCAGCAATGACCCATTTCCCAGAGGTGAGTCCCTGGAGGTGAAGGGGTTAGCTCTGTCCAGGTCGCTTTCCTTGATCTTCACTGGCCAGAGTGGGGAGGTGTGGCCAGGAGAGCCAGGGTTTGTCCTGACCAGGGTCCAGCCTAGCACCAGAATGACCATTTCTGACCTCTCCTTTCCTCACCCTGGGCAGTGAGAGACTCCAGATGAGGGGCATGAAACTGGGCAAAAATTACACTATGTATCAGTTTGTGCAGAGGATGGGGTATCGGTCCCCTGCCCAGCTGTGCAGGGGAGGGGAGGGTGGGACTTTTCCAGAGAGGGAGCCAGGCCTGGCCCAGGCCCCAGGAGCTCACGTCACCCCCACCCCTCACTTCTCCAGGGAACTGCCAAAGCCAAACCCAGCTCAGGGCAGGATTATGTGTACTGGGTAGACACGAGAGGCCGCAGGACTGGACCTGGGGTGGCAGAGGAAGTGGAGAGGGGACCAGCATTAGGGAAGGGGCAGGCGGTGACAAATCACCCCATCTTTCCTTCCCTCTAGCCTCAAGTGACGGGCAGAGGGCTGAAGGGTGGGGTGGAATGTGGGTTACTCTCCCCAGCCTGGCTCCCCCTCCCATCAGGGCAGAGTTGCTGACCTCAGTGACCCACCAGCCAGAGGAGAGAGGTCACTGGCAGCCCCCTCCCCAACCCAAGCAGCTGAGGTGACCTCACAGCTAGGTCAACCACTTTGATCCCTCCCTCAGCTTCCCAAGTCCTGAGGTCCCAGAGAGGGAGATGGGGCACTATTGACCCCTCCAAGCACATTCCTAGCCCTCCCTCTGTCGTTTTCCTGCCCTTGGGCTGGCCCACATCGCAAACGCTCCTTGGATTCTTCTCTTGGTGCTGTTCGGATCCAACAGAAACAGTGGTTTTTTTCCTGGAAAGCAGAACTAAGCCAGGATGAGGAGTGGGGGTGGGGAGGGCTCAAAGAGAAGGAAGGGGCTGGAGGACAGGGGGTAGGGAGAGCTTCAAGACCACCCCCCCAGTGTTCAAAGCTAGACTTCAGGATGGACTTCCCAGGATTCCAGAATGAGGGGCCTGGGGAGCAGAAGCAGATCTGGCTGCATCTCTCCTTCCCAGGTTCTCTCAGCCATTTTAGCTGTGCATGGGAAGAAAAAAAAATTTTTTTAAGAAAAAAAAAAAAAAGAGAAATGAAATAAGTCCCCACTGAGTCAATCCCTGATGGATGCTGCCACCTGAGGGAGGTTAAGTCACCTGCTTCTTCTCTAGAGATGAAGCCATCGACCCGCTTATTCCTTGGTCAAAAAGCAGCAGAGATGTGCCTGCCTCTTGGTGCCACAAGCTACGAAGGGAGAGAGGAAACATGGCTGGGGAAAGGGCTGGTTCCTGAAAGCCCAAGGAGCCTTCTTGTCCACCCCTCAGAACAGGTGTCAGGCATAGCCTCACCTGAGCCTCCCTTCTTAACTTCCGGGGTGCTCTGTGAGAGCAGGAGTGGGGGCCAAATGAAAACCCCAAGAAAGTACTGCTTGTGTGCCTGAGCTGAGCAGCCCCTCCTCAGGACTGAGGAAGGACTGAGAGGTCCCTAGAGAGCCAAGGGGAGGGGACTACGCTGTGAGTTGAGAGGCTGAGGTCAGACCCCCACCCTCTTGTCTCAGCAGATGACAAAGACAGCGTTCCTTCCAGCTCCCGCCATCCTGTCAGAGCTGTCTTTCTGGGGAACCATCTCTCCCAGCCCCCCAGCTTTCTGAAGGTAACCACCAGGCTTCTGTCCCTGCAGGACCTCCACGTCCAGATGGCTGAGTAGCGTTCTCTATTGGTCCCCTCCTCTCTGGCCCAGGGGCAGTCAAGGGCAGAGATGGAGAAGTGGGCAGGCAGGTAAGAGGAGGGCTTGTGGGGTAGAGGGACATCTCTGTCCCCGGTGGAGAGGGAAATGATGACTGGGAGGGGCCGGGAAGAAACTTCTGCTTTCTGAGAAGCTGGCAGTCAGGATGTGGGGAGCCTGGTGGGGGCAGGGTGGGGGGGTCGGTATACCTCTGGCCCCTTCTGACTCCCCTGCCTTTGGTTTGCAGGCCCAGTCTGTGTGTGCTGCTGCTTCTGTCCCTTCCCCAGCTCTGCTTGGATCAGGAGGTGAGACCCTAGCAAGTGACCAGCTACTGCGCTGTCTGGGATCCTTCAGTCACCACCACCACCACCACCACCACCACCACCACCACCACTCAACACCTCTCCATTTCTCTCAGCTCTGCAAAGCCATGGCCCCTTTCACCTACGCTTGGCCCACCCAGCCTCCCCTGCCAATCCCCTAACTCCTTGTCACATAACCGGAAGAAAGCCAGGTTCTAGTCCTACCTCTACTACTGAATGTGACCTTGGCCTGGTAAAACTTCTTGAGGCCTGAACTAGACAGATCCTCTGCACAGTACCTCCTCAGATCGCTCTAATTTTGTCTGACCGTTTTCTCTATGTAGGTGTTGTCTGGATATTCTCTTCAGACACCCCCAGAGGAGGGCCAGGTCCCTGAGGGTGCCTGGGGACACTGGGACCAGTGGGCCTCTTGCTCCCAGCCCTGTGGGGTGGGGGTGCAGCGCAGAAGCCGGACATGTCAACTTCGCCCGGACTTGTCCCCCCTGCTCCGACCCCCAAGACATCCAGAAGCCCTCCGCTCAGGGGGTCAGGGCCCCAGGCCCCAGACTTCCCGAGAAGCCCATCCCCTGTACAGGCCACAGCCTCAGGGAAGGGGTGGGCCACTTCAGGGTCCTGCTTCCCAGCCAAGGAGAGAGGAGCCCCAGGAGACTCAAGGAACCCGGAGGTGAGGCTCTGAGGGGAGGGGTGGCCCTCGGTGAAGAAAAGAGCATCAAAGGGCACTACAGCTTGGGAGGCTGATCTTTGGTGCCGGGAAGTTGATAGGGAGACAGGATCAGAGACAGCCAGATCTCTAACCCTATGTTGCAATGCCTTCTCAGGTCCCGGGTTCGAGACCCCATCAAGCCAGGAATGTTTGGTTATGGGAGAGTGCCCTTTGCCTTGCCGCTGCATCGGAGTCGCAGGCATCCCCGAAGGCTGCCTGGGTCTGAGCTCCCCAAGACCTCTTCTGGTGGGGAACGGACCCTTCCATCCCAGACTCCAAGAGCAGAGATATTCTCTGCAAACCATGGCCCCCAAACTCAGCTCCTTCCTACAGAACTGTCTGTCCATCCCCCATCCCTCCCAGCAGAGCCCCCACAACCTGAAACTGCTCAGACAGGGGTGTCCCACAGATCCAGTCCTGCCCCCACACAGCCCCAGCCCAGAGCCCAGGCCTCTGGCAGGAGGCCCAGTTCACCCACCTCTTCACCAGGAGAAAGTGGCTCCTTCCATGAGTCCCCTCAGCCAAGAATGCCAACTTCCTGGGGTAGAGCCAGTCCCCAGGTAGCAGGGAGACGCCCAGAGCCTTTTCCTTCTGTCTCTTGGAGCCACAGCCGAGGCCAGCAGAGCCAAGGGCTCTGGAGACCTGGGGGCCATCCTCACAGGTCTGTTGTGGAGCCTGCCCCTCACCACCCAGAAGGCTGGTTGCCTCTGCTGAGTTCCGGTCCCCACTCCAGCTCCCTCTGGAGCCTCTTTGCTCCCAGTAGCCTTGTCCCAAAATGCTCTGGGGAGAGTGAGCAGCTGAGAGCCTGCAGCCAAGGGGTGAGTTCTTCCCTGGGCCGCCCCTTCCTGGCCCAGACTTCAGTTCTACTCCCTGACACTGAGTCTGGGTCCTCAGTCTGTTGGACCACGACCTGAGGGAGAAGGGCCCTGGCATCTGACCTCCGGGTGGGGGGCCTTGGAGCTCTTCCACGGAGCTGAGCGTCCCCCCACCCCCGCTCCCCATATCCAGCCTGGCCTACACCCTGCTTTTCTTCCCCAGCTCTGACTTTTGCATTCCCCTCTTCAGCCCTGCCCCCCTGAGCAGCCAGACCCCCGGGCCCTGCAGTGTGCAGCTTTTAACTCCCAGGAATTCATGGGCCAGCTGTACCAGTGGGAGCCCTTCACTGAAGGTGAGGTTTCTAGTCTACCTCCCTACCCCTGCCCATGGGGGTGGCTAGGGATTGGGCGTGACAGGAAGAAGGAGACACCTGCTCATTCAGTCCTGGAGTTTTCTGTCCTCTGTTTCTCTATGTCAGCCCTTCTCTTCCTCTTCCATGTCATACTTCCCTTTTTTTTTTTTTTTTTGATAGAACTGTGGTTTGAACTCAGGACTTCATGCTTGCAAAGCAGGCCCTCTACTGCTTGAGCCACACCTCCAGTCCATTTTGCTCTGGTTATTTTGGAGATGGGGTCTTGCAGACTATTTGCCCAGTCTGGCCTCAAACTTGATATTCTTGATCTCAGCTTCCAAGCAGCTAGGATAATAGGCATGAGCCACCATACCCGGCTCATACTTCCTTTTTTTCCCTTTATTGTGGTGCTCGTACTTTCTTTCTTACTCTCCAGGTTGGGCCAAAAGACTTAGCACAGGCCTGGAAAGAGGAGGGGCTTTCAGATGGGGGCTTTCAGATGGTGGGAACAGCCTGGTGGGACAGTCAGGCTGGGAACGGAGGTGTCCAGAGATGCCTTTGACTGGTTTCCTCTAGGAGGATGTCTATCCCAGGAGGTGGGTTGGCTATGACTGGAAATATCCTGTCCAGTGGTAACAGTGGAGAGGGTGTGCCATGGATCCTTGGTGGTATCACATTATTTGTTCCCAAGTTACCTCCACTTGATTTTTGGCCTAAGTCAACTTGACACCAAGACAAACGCTCAGGAGCTGTAAAGTCACATAATCACAGGTGTCAGAAACATTCTTGAGATAGGATAGGGTGGAAAAATGAGACCTGTTGAAACTATTCCAGGGGTGAGGAGAGGGGATAAAGGAGATGATGGAGGGGTGAATTCAACTGTGATATGTTGTAAGAATTTTTTTAGATGTCACAATGTACTCTAAGTACAACAATAATATGATTTAAAAAAAAAAGAAATTCTTGAGTAGCTTGGTGTGGTAGCACACGTGTGTAATCTCAGCACTTGTGAGGCTGAAGCAGGAGGATTGAGAGTTCAAGGCCAGCCTGAGCTACATAGCCAGACCCTGTCTCAAAACAACAATGACAGCACCAAAAAAACCTCATTCTTCATGGTACAGTGGTACATGCCTGTAGTTCTAACTACTCAGAAACTGAGGTGGGAAGATCTCTTGAGCTGGTCAGGAGACTAGCTTGGGCATCACAGCATGAATTCTATCTCAAAACAACAACAACAATAAAAAACCCAGCCAGGTGCCAGTGGCTCACTCCTGTAATAGCTATTTGAGAGGCTGAGATCACAAGGGGCAAGGTTCAAGCCAGCTTGGCAAGCAGTTCTTGAGAACCTATCTCCAAAATAACCAGAGTAAAATGGAGTGGAGGTGTGGCTCAAACAGTAGAGTGCCTCCTTTGTGAGCACAAAGGAAAAACAAAACAGAAAAAAAGCTGGGCTTGGTGGTGCACACCAGCCCAGCTAGAGTAGAAAACATAAAATAGCATGAACATAGGCCAGGCTGGACAAAAGTGAGACCCTATCTCCAAAATAACCTTTTTTTTTTTTTTTGGCAGCACTAGGGTTTCAACTCAGGGCCTCACATTTGCTAGACAGATGTTCTTACTGCTTGAACCACATTGCCAGCCCTTTGTGATGGGTTTATTTGAGATAGGGTCTCTGTTTGCCTGGGTTGGTTTCAAACCTTGATCCTCTTGATCTCTTCCTCCTGAGTAGCTAGTATTACAGGAGCCAGCAGCCGGCTCTCCAAAATAACAAGAACAACAACAACAAAAAAGGGCCCCATGACTCAAGAGGTATAGCATCTGTCTAGCAAGCATAAAGCCCTGAGTTCAAATCCCAGTATCACCAAAACAAAAAAACAGTTTAAAAAGAACAGCTAGACATTGTGGTACACGTCTTAACCCCAGCACCCAGAAGGCTGAAGCAGGAAGATCATGAATTTGAGGCCAGCCTGGGGTACATCTCAAGTTCTAGGCCAGCCTTGGCTATATATCTTAAAACAATAATAAAATTCTTCTTGGCTCAGTGACCTCTATGGACTTGAAGGGAAATTGGCAGGTACCCTTCATCCACAGCAACTTCGGCAGCCTCAGCATGTCCCACAGCAGCTGTCTGGGACCTGGGGCTTTTCCCAGTTACCACCCTGCCAGGGACCCCAGCTAACCACTTTCTCCCTTGTCTCTTAGTTCAGGGGTCCCAACGCTGTGAACTGAACTGCCGCCCCCATGGCTTCCGCTTCTATGTCCGTCACACCGAAAAGGTCCAGGATGGAACCCTGTGCCAGCCCGGAGCCCCCGACATTTGTGTGGCTGGACGCTGTCTGGTGAGGAACAGCAGGGTGCATGTGTGTGCAACACACACACACACACACACACACACACACACACACACACACAGAGTCTCTAAGTAATTACAATAAAACACCAAATAGGCCAGGCACTGGTGGCTCACGCTTGTAATCCTAGCTACTCATGAGGCAGAGATCAGGAGGATCTTGGTTCAAAGCCACATAGTTCAAGAGACCCTGTCTCAAAAAAAAAAAAAAAAAATCACAAAGAAGGGCTGGTGGAGTGGCTCAAGGTATAGGCCCTGAGTTCAAATTCCAGTACCACATTAAAAAAACAAAACAAAACAAAAAAAACACCAAACAGACTGAGATAGTCATGGAGAAAGTTCTCCCCTGCCAAGCCAAACTGGGAGGATCCCCCCAGGATCCTGTACACAGGAACGCCTGGCTGGGAATGGTGGGCTCTTGCCTGCAGCACAAAGAGAAGACAGGTGCTTAGCTGAGGGTCTAGAGTAGACCAGGGTGGGATGTGAGGTGGTACCTGGCTTCCTTGTGGCCCCTGCCTCACCTCACTCTCCTCAGCGCCCTGGCTGTGATGGAATCCTTGGCTCTGGCAGGCGACCAGATGGCTGTGGAGTTTGTGGAGGTGATGATTCTACCTGTCGCCTCATTTCTGGGAACCTCACGGACCGAGGGGGTCCCTTGGGCTATCAGAAGATCCTGTGGATTCCAGCTGGAGCCCTCCGGCTCCAGATTGCTCAACTCCGGCCCAGCTCCAATTACCTTGGTGAGCACCCCGGATTGGATTCCTGGTCCTTAAGTCCTGTTCCACTCCGGGTCTCTTTGTTCTACCCTCCACACTCCACTGAGCACATCAAAAAGCCACACAGGGAGAAATGGACGGCCTTCTCCCTCCCTTGTGGAGAGGTAGAGGAAGGTGAGATGACGGGGTATCTTAGGCTCTGGGTGGGATGTTCCACAGGTTTGGGAATTGATGGGAAGGTGGACAGTATGACCAGCCTCTGACTTCTGGATCTCTCCCTCCAGCACTTCGAGGCCCTGGGGGCCGCTCCATCATCAATGGGAACTGGGCCGTGGATCCCCCGGGGTCCTACACCGCTGGTGGGACGGTCTTTCAGTACAACCGTCCTCCTCGGGAGGAAGGCAAGGGGGAGAGTTTGTCAGCTGAAGGCCCCACCACCCACCCTGTGGATGTCTATGTGAGCCTGGGGCCCCCAGGAGGTTGACTGCTGGGCAAAGCCCTGCCCACCTAGTCACCTGACACACTCATTCCCTTATCTCCTCCCCAGATGATCTTTCAGGAGGACAACCCAGGTGTTTCTTATCAGTATGTCATCTCTTCACCTCCTCTGGTCCTCACTACAGTTCCCCCTGTCTCCCAACTTCAGCCTGGTACGTAGACCTGGAAAGAGTGGGAGGGAGAGGGCAGCTGCAAGGTGTTGAGGTGGCATCTGACCATCTGACCGTCTCCATACCTGCAGAGATGCTGAGGGGGGAGCCTCCACCGCCTCCAGTGCCCCGCCCAGCCCGGACCCCAGGCACCCTCCAACGTCAGGTGCGGATTCCCCAGATGCCTGCCCCATCCCCTATCAGGACAGCCCCAGAGTCTCCAGCTGGATACTGGAAACAAGTGGGGCACTCCGAGTGCTCAGCGTCCTGTGGGAAAGGTGAGACCCTTGCCTGTGCTCGTGGCACCCTCAGCTGACATCTCCAGCCTGACTCTCCCGAGGATCCTGGATCCTGGGGTCACACCTTGACTCTATATCTGGAATTCCACTAAAATGGCTCTGAGCCATCCCACCTTCCCCGGTGGCCCTGTCATCCCTTTCAGGTGTTTGGCGCCCTGTGTTCCTCTGCGTTTCCCGTGAGTCAGGAGAGGAACTGGACGAACACAGCTGTGCTGTGGGTGCCAGACCCCCAGCCTCCCCTGAACCCTGCCACGGCCCTCCGTGCCCCCCATAGTGAGTATGGCCCACAAAGGGGAGTTATGGAACACAAAATTGCCCCTGGACTTGCTCCCTGCGCACAGGATCTTAGCTGGACTCTGCATTTGGTAACACAGGGAGACAATATTAGATTGGAAAGGTTGACATCCCATAGACAGCAGCCCGCTCCCCGACAGCCCAGACTCCAAATGCTAAACACAGCACTGTCCTCTGGGGGCCCCCAGCCCAGTGAACTTCCCCATTCTCCCATGTGGCAGCCCCGTCTCATCCCTCTTCCTGGCCCTGCCCACAGCTGGGACGCAGGTGAGTGGACATCCTGCAGCCGCTCCTGTGGCCCCGGCACCCAGCACCGCCAGCTGCACTGTCGGCAGGAGTTTGGAGGGGGTGGCTCATCCGTGCCTCCTGAGCGCTGTGGACATCTCCCCCGGCCCAACGTCACCCAGCTTTGCCAGTTGCGCCTCTGTGGCCATTGGGAGGTCACCTCTCCCTGGAGCCAGGTGAGTGGCACCTGGGCAAGGAGGACGCTTGAGGAGTGGACACCAAAGAACTAGAGCAGTGGTTGATCCACCTTCTTCATTAGCAGAAACTGTTTTACAAACAAGCTCTTATATGGAACCCCAATATGTGTCAGATAAGAGACTGAACCAGACTGGGTGCCTGTGGCTCACACCTGTAATCCTACTTGGGAGGCTGAGATTGGGAGGATTGTGGTTCGAGGCCAGTCCCAGGCAAACAGTTCACAAGACTCTGTCTCCAAAATAACCATAGGCTAATGGGCTGAAGGTGTGGCTCAAGTGATAGAGCACCTGCTTTGCAAGTGTGCAGTCCTGACTTCAAACCCCAGTTGAAAAAAGAGACTAAATGAGGGGTCCAGAGTCCCAAACTCAGCTTCCTCCTCAACCCATGAAACCGTGTAACTGCTGAGGTTGGATCAAAGGTTGATAGATCAGGAGGGTGGACAAAGTCTAGCTCCTCAGATTTCCCCTCCCATTCAGTGCTCTGTGCGGTGCGGTCGAGGCCAGAGGAGCCGGCAGGTCCGCTGTGTTGGAAACAGCGGTGATGAAGTGAGCAAGCAGGAGTGTGCTTCCGGCCCCCCCCAGCCCCCCAGCAGAGAGGCCTGTGACATGGGGCCCTGTACCACAGCCTGGTTCCACAGCGACTGGAGCTCCAAGGTGGGCCTCACACCCCCTTAGTCAAATCTAGTATCCCTGGGAGCACACCCAGGCCACCCTGTCACAGCCTTTCCAACACAGCTCAATGAACGTTTATTGAGTTACTTACTATGAGCTTCGCACGGGGAACTCAGAGATAAAGTGAGGAAAGCTTACATTCGGCTACGTAAGTTCGACATCAGCCATGTTTCCCCTCCCCGGCTGGTACCCCTAGGGCATTCTTGAACTGCCAGTATCAGGACCCAGGACACATCCAGCTTCCCCATCCCCGTCCCCTGTCCCAGTCACCAACAGCCTCCCTTCACCCAAGCCACTGTACTTCTCAACAGTGCTCAGCCGAGTGTGGGACAGGCATCCAGCGTCGTTCTGTGGTCTGCCTCGGGAGTGGGGAAAGCCTCAGGGAGGGCCAGGGGGAAGCAGGAGCAGGAACCAGTGAGCAGAGCTGTCCTCCAGGAAGCCGCCCCCCTGACATGCGAGCCTGCAGCCTGGGTCCCTGCGAGAGGACATGGCGCTGGTACACGGGGCCCTGGGGTGAGGTGAGCTGAGGGCCTGGAAGGGGGACAAGGAGGAGTGAGTCCTAGGGGGATTCAGCGTCGGTCATTGGAAGTGACCTCTCTCCCCCTTCTCCTACCCAGTGCTCCTCAGAATGTGGCTGGGGTACGCAGCGTAGAGATGTCATCTGCGTGTCCAAACTGGGGGCCGAGTTCAATGTCACTTCTCCTAGCAACTGTTCCCACCTGCCCAGGCCCCCTGCCCTGCAACCATGTCAGGGCCAGGCCTGCCAGGACCGGTGGTTTTCCACGCCCTGGAGTCCGGTGAGTGCCCGGCTCCCCTGCCCTGTCCTCTGCCCTGCTCAGCCTGGGCCTGCAGTGACGGGGGGCTTTTCTCACTATACCCCTCCAAGCCTTTCTGAGCCCCAGGACAAGTCCAGCAGAGGTTCCATCTTGCCCCACTTCCTGTAGACTTGGAGGACAGGTGGGCTCTCTCCATCTGGGTTTCATAATGCCCCTGGGTAATGTCCCACCTCTCAGAGAGGGAGGTGGTCATCTGGGCACCACAAAGATCTGACATGATAGTCATGACATCCATGTTTCCCCAGTGTTCCCACTCCTGCCAGGGAGGCACGCAGACCAGGGAGGTCCAGTGCCTGAGTGCCAACCAGACTCTCAGCGCCCGATGTCCTCCTCACCTAAGACCTGCCAGGAAACGACCTTGTAATAGCCAACCCTGCGGCCAGCGCCCTGGTAAAGTACCCCTCTCCCCAAAACCCAATAGCATGGAGTTAACTGTGTGCGTGGAGGCGAGAATGGACCAGTGGGAGCAGGCAACACACCTGCCAAGGGATGAATGTTAGCCATTGTCTTGTACCCACTGGCTTCCTCTGTCCCCAGATGATCAATGCAAGGACAGCTCTCCACATTGCCCCCTGGTGGTGCAGGCCCGGCTCTGCGTCTATCCGTACTACACAGCCACCTGCTGCCGTTCTTGCGCCCATGTCCTGAAGCCGTCCCCAGAGGAGCCTGCTTGAGCTGGGTCAAGGAGACCCTCTCCTGGTTTTCTCATGCCAGCATTGGTCACCCATCTATCAGCCCGCTCTGTATCCTGGCTCTCCAGCCTGTCCCAGTCTCACCAGGGATGTCCTCCAGGGTGACTGAGGGTGGCAAGGTGACTGACTGACAGTGACGACATGTCAAGACGTGTGGTTGTCTGTATTGTGGTGTGATAGTGTGCATACACATACACTGTGTGTGGTGTGTGCCCTCATATATGTGTATCACTTCCCAGAAAGCAGTTCTGCAGACAGAAGGACCGGGGAGGGGGCTGTACTTGTTTATCTGAGGCTTTTCCAAGCTGAGAGGAGAGCAAGGTTGCAGTTCTATACTAACCTGAGCTACTTAGAGTATGGTCTCCTCATCAATTCCAGCTTTGTGCCATCAGGTCTCACATCTTCTAAGCCACCTTTGTCGCTGATCTTTGTCTACCCTTACCTAGTCTCTCGATCCCTCTCTCCCTATAGCTAGGAATTACCTTACCCTTGAAAGAAGTACTGCCTCCCCAAAGCAGGGACCATCCGGGTAGAGGGTACAGAAGAGAAATGTGGGCATAAGACACCCTTGCCCCTGCCCCCACGTCACACCTCCTAAAGTGGTTCCCACCCCAGAACTAATTTATTTTTTATTAAAGATGATTGTGACAAATGAGAAACATGCTCTTCGTGATCCTTAATGGGAACCCAACAATTGGAACCACCTAAGAAGGTTAGCCTGTGGGGTGGGAGGGGTACAGCACTTAGTGTCCCACGAAAGAGTGTGGGTGGGGAAGGGTTATGGCACAGACCCAAAGCATCTGAGATCAAGAACCTGGGTCAGAGGAAGAGGAGCCTAGTCAACCCCAGTCCTGCAGTTTTGTCATTGGCCACTAGAGGTCACCATGTCTCCTAATTTAGGTGTATATTTGGGAGCTTTGGTCTCAAATTGAGGGAAACCACATGACTTGTGGTGGGTTTCTGGGGGAGACTCTGTCAAGTGTCTCGGAAGCTAGTAGTACCCTTTCCAATCCAGGGTATAGCTGAATGGCAGCTGGCTTTTGGGGTCATTTCTTGGTCTTTTTCTTTGCACTCTTGCCTCCCCCATCTTTTCTGCTGTTACCCGTTTCCCCGTTAAGCCCCTGGTTTACTGCTTTTCATGGGCGGGGAAAGGGGAGTGATTTCTGACCCCCCTCTCCTGTGCTCAGCGGAAAGGATTAGAGGAGAAGCTTGGCCTAGCTCTAGAGGACTTGGGGCAGGGTGAGGGAGGGGCCAGGGCAGTACTGGATGTTCTGCCAAAGGCACATTCTTCAGAGATGGCTCACTCTGGTCTCCTCCCTCTTTCCTCCTCCCTCCCCTATCCATTTCTTCTCCCAAGGTAAATAACTGGCTGGAGGTGATGTGAGAGGGAACAGCCTTTTCTTTCTCCCTGACCCCTGAAGTTCTGAGGACTGTTTGAATCTTTTAATTCTGGAAGCCAGACTTCCCAGGAAGAGGCAGTGCAATAGGATCAGATGCCCCTCCGCTGAAGACAGCCTCACCCCATTTCTCACTCTCCACCAGGCCATTAATAAATGGCCTGCAGGGCCTGGCACCTGTGGGTCCTGCCTGTAATCATAGCTGCTTGGAAGGCTAAGATCAGTAGGATCTTGGTTCAAGGCTACCCTGGCAAATCGTGAGACCTTGTTTCCAAAAACTAGCCCAAGCAAAATGGATTAGGGGTGGGCTCAAATGGCAGAGCTCCTGCTTTGTGAGTGCGGAAATCATGAGTTCAAACCCATCCCATCAAAACAAAAAACAAACAAAAAAACCCCAAAAAAACAACCAACCCCCCCCACACACACACACAAAAACAGCTCAAATGTAACAGAAACAATGTAACTCAATGATTACTGTGAGCATTGTGAATGGCACCAGAGTTGCCTGAAGGGACAAGATTTCTCTACTCCAGCAGCCTCCCTCACCTGAGTTGGGACTCAGGCTTTCCTTGGGTGGAAGTGACTGAGAAGACAGACTGGACAGCAGCTATGGGAGAAGGGGAAGGGAAATGGAAATGACTTCAGCCCAGAGCTGGAGCAAGGAAAGGTGGGTACAGGAAGGTGCAGCCTTTAAAGAGATGTCAGACCCATTTCCCTCTCGGTGACCCTGTAAGGGGGAGTCTAAGATGTGGGAGACAAGGGTAATGGGGTCTGAGAAAGTCTGTAGATGCAAGAGGATGAAGGCAGAGGCACAGACTAAGGGAGGGGTGGCTGGGGTGGCTGAGGCCCTCCCAGCGATTCCTGGAAGCTGGACTGGGCGGAGTCCCCACTCAGCTGACTTCCTCAGTAGTGGTTAGGACTGTTGCTGGGCTGGTTTGGAGTTTGGTCTGCGCCTGAGAGCCAATCACAGGTGGAGAATGCAACTATATCCCCTAGGAGGGTTCCTCCAGACTCAGCACCTCCTTTCTCTGAGAGCCCAGGTCTCCCTCATAGCCTCCAGCTCCTGACTTCTCAGGTAGACTCTCATCTGGGGCTCACCCTCTTTTTCCTCTCATTTTAAAGCTAGGATTCAGTGCAGACCCTAAGGACTCTGTCCTCTGGTCACTGAGGTCAGTGTAGGGTCAATGTGGAAGTTCTCAGGAAGGGGAACCTGACCCCAAGCAACCCTTTTTCCTGGCCCCCTAGAGTGGGGGAGTGTGGCCAGACATCTCTTTGCTAACCTCTGAAACTCTTAGAGGGTCTAGGAGAGGAAGCTGCAACCCAAAGGGCAGAGAGATGTGGTGGAACCCCTAGTCTGAGTGCAATGGGGGCAGGGGGTTATTTAAGGAAGGACTCAAGAGGAACTGGAACCCTGGGAATTAGGATGGGGCAGGGTGGTGATAGGAACCTCTAGAGGCCCTGCACGAGAGATCAAGCATGCAGTAGGACTGCACATTGCTGAGGACGCCTCTCTTCTATTTGCTTGGGGAGGGGGTGTGGTTTTAGTATATAATTAAGGGTGAACTTGAGGTCTGAGAAGTTCAGCTGGGCCTGGGGCATGCATGGGTTCAGCCTCTAGAACCATAAAAAAAAAAAGTTCAATTGGGTGGTATTCCTCTCCCCTCCCCCCCAGCATCCCTGGGGTAAACACCCACCCAATTTAAGCTGCAGCTTTTGGATTAAATTTAGCTCCTAGACTTCCCCAGCCCCCTAGGCCTCCCTTGTAAGCAGGTGCTCACAGCTGCAGGAGTGGGCCTGGTGGAGTTTCAGCAATGTCTTCACCTGCACTCATCCACAGTCAGCCTTTGTGGTGTAGCAGAGCGCAAGAATCAGGCTGCTGGTCTTAGGCATGTTGAGCCACCTCCTCTCAGGAGCCCTACACAAGAATTCGGGTTGAGGATCTCCACAGACAACTAGGAGGGTGGGATAGAGAACAAAGTGCAAGGAGCTGCTCCTCTCCAGATTCTCTTCAACCAGGTCCTCCTTCATCTCTTGCTCTCCCCTTCTCAGTTTTACAAATAGAGGTTTAATTTGAATTTAACACCCTCCCTCCCCCACCACAGTAAACTAACCAGAGCTGCCCTCTGTCTGCTGGAACCACGCAGCATCCTGCTAGGGTAGAGTATGACCGGGGAAAACAGGTGTGGTGGGGGTAGGGGTTCTCATCCCCCATCTGCTGAGCACCCCTCAAATCTACCAGCTCTGGTGCTACGAGGCAGCTGCGAGGGGAGAGGGGAGTGTAGAGCAGAGAGGGTTTATTTGTTACAGGCAGGTGATAAAGAGGTGAGAGAGGCACCTTCTTTCACAGGAAGTAGAAAATCTCAGGAAAGTACCGAAGCCTCAATCTATCAACAAGAGAAATAAACAGTTTGGGTTCACCTCAGTGTAGCTAGCACCAATCTCCAATCTGACTTTGGGGGGAAACCTCCAGAACAGCTTGTTTCAGGGCTGAAGTCTGAAAGTGGGGAGGATTTGAGACAGGAATGTCCAAGGCTAGTCCAAAACATAAGACATGGCAATCAGTTCCTTGGGGACCATCAGCCACACCAGCTGAAGCTCTGCCTGCAGAGCAGGCAGAAATGAGACCACAGAGCTTCCTCTATGAGCACCAAAGAACTGTTTTGGGGAAGAACACTAAGTTAGAAGAGAAAGGTCCCATGTTGAGGCTATGTGTTACTCTGATGAGCCTGTTTGAGCTCATCAGAGACAGCTACACAGAACTTTGAGTGAAAGCTGGGCGCTGGCGGCTCATACCTGTAATCCTAGCTACTCAAGAGGCAAGAGATCAGGAGGATCTCAGTTCAAAGCCAACCAGGCAAATAGGTAAAAATACCTACCACAAAAAGGGTTGGTGGAATGACTCAAGGTGTAGGTAGGCCCTGAGTTCAAGCCCCAGTTACCACCAAAAAAAAAACCCTGAGTGAAAAAGAAAAGCAGCTGGGGAAGGGAAGATAGATGACTCATAAAAGGGAGCAGATTGCATGCCTGGATACCTAGGCTAAAGGGCCAAGGCAGCCAGGGCTGGGCCCATGATGGGAAGTGCAGAGTCCATCTCTCCCTGGGAATTAGTTTACCCTTTCTCTTCCATCTCTGCTTCTTGTTTGTTTTTGTTTTAGCTCTAGTGGAGGGTTGAGCAACATTTTTCACTACAGAACTAGATGGTAAGTATCTTAGGCTTTGCAGGCTGTCTGTTGCAACTACTCACCTCTGCATATTGCAGCACAGAAGCGCCACAGATGGAAGATAAGAAAACAAATAGGCAGGGCTGTATTCCAGTCAAACTTTATATAGACATTCACAAAGTTTAATTTCATATCATTTCAAGATGTCACAAAATAATTCTTTAGATTTTTATCAACAACTTAAAAAAGCAAAAACTATATTTGGCTTGCAGGCCATACAAAAACAGGAGGCAGGGTAGCCTTGGCAAAGCAGGTAGTTCCCGACCCCTGGGAGTTTTCCTATCTGGCTGAACTCCTCTATTCAAAAGTGTTGTTTGTGTTCCCTCCAGGGCTCCAAATAACAGCTGTAGAAACGTACACTGCAACATACTCTATTGATGTGATTTTTTTTTTCCAGTATTTTCGTTCACTGAATAATTACCAAGCTCTTCTGAAGACCGTTTTTCCTTAAAACTGAAAACAAGGGCTGTGGGGTATAGCTCTGTGGGAGAGCCTGTGTTTAGCATGCCCAAGGCCCAGGGTTTGATCCCTGCCACCAAAAATCAAACTGAAAATCAGCCAGCACATCATTTCAAAACACCTCTCCTCTCCCCTCTCTCTCTCTCTCTCTCACACACACACACAAAACCTCATTTCGACAGAAACAGAAAGTTGTTTCTTTGTTCTGTTTTTCTGTCTCATGAGGATGAGGGATTTCTGAGAAATGTCAAAACGTCACTTCCCACAGCCTAGTCTGCAGTTTTGTTTTCAATGAAAAGGAGGGAGGAAAGGGGCTTATTATTTAAACAAACAGTATTAATCCAAAACTTTACAAACTAAGAGAAACTCCCTATCCTTAGCTGTTCACCTGAAGTATGCACCTTTCTTTAGATCTGGGTTCTCAGGGTCAAAAGGAAATAAAGATATCCTCCTCTCAGGCAATTTCAGTAACAAAGCAGAGAAACCTAACAGCTGCTCCTCTGCAGGAGGCCAGCTGTCTCCCCTCCTCCCATTTCTACCATGGACACAGGATGAGTGCGAATTGTTCAGACAACCTAAGGAGTGG